ATCTTTTAGCATTGCACCTTCTGAAGAGTCAGTATTTAAGATGATTGGCCCAATTAGTCATGTAATATAAGGTGGAAACAAAGGATTATCAAAAGGAAAGTCCATAAGACCATCCATATACTTTGAAATGTGCACTTCTTCGGGTACTGTATATCTTGGAATTGACACAAAGGTAAATAAAAATGAGACAGTAAGTAGAAGAAAATGTCAAAACATAAGGAAAGAAGAGAAAGACCAAAATACACTTCAGTTGATAGGCTTTGTTCACAGTGCATATTTGTCATGTACCACTCTCACCCAGAATACAGTCCCAGATCAGAGTTCATATCTACGGAGTCATGTGTAAGTATCAATCCTTTGACTTAAAAGGCATTTTAATTCCTTTGAATTAAAAGGCGTTTAGTAAGCCGCCCTGAGCCTGCTTCAGCGGGGAGGGCAGGGTGTAAATTGAATGAATGAATGCATAAATAAATAAATTTTGTTGTTGAGAACTGGAAGAAACTAATTAAGCCATGAACAAAAGCCATGAGGCAAATATTTGGCTGATGCAAAATTGTACAGTCAAGGTGGGTCTGTGTATCTGAAGGTGGAGCTGAAAGCAGTTTGACTGGCAAGAGTGAAGGGAGCTAAAGGTGGCTGGAGTATGAAAACCAGGAGCTTGCCAAATGGGGGCAGTGCAGGCAGAATAGCCCTTTTCCTCTGTTCTACCTAAGCACATAATGATACTGTCCTTGAAGCACCAGAGCACAGAAGGTATGTATGTGCAAGACATGTATGCCAATTTGAAAGAATAGTTAATAAGAACATAAGAGAAGCCAATATTGGATCAGGCCAATGGCCCATCCAGACCAACACTCTGTCACACAGTGGCCAAAAATATCAGGTGCCATCAGGAGGTCCATCGGTGGGGCCAGGACACTAGAAGGCCACCCACTGTTGCCCCCCCGCAAGCACCAAGAATACAGTGCATCACGTGCCCCAGACTGAGAGTTCCTATCTATACCTTGTGGCTAAGAGCCACTGATGGACCTCTGCTCCATATGTTTATGTTGAAACTAGGAATGTGCATTCAGCAGAAACCGAGCTGAATAAATATCTGAAAATACCTTATTGGAATTTTTCCGGTATTATGTAAGCCGAATATAGATCAGAGGTCTATATTCAGCTACTGATATAGCTGAGCCCCAAAAAAGCAGAGGGTTTTAAAGGCTAGGCTTCCTCCTTGGGGAAACCAATTAGTCTGGCGAGTCACCAGTCCACTGGTCGGCTTCTCTGGGAGGAAGCCTTGAAACCCCTCTGCTTTGCTTATCCCGCTCTGAAGCAGAGGGAAGCAAAGCAGAGGCTAGCCTTCCTCCCTTTGGAAGCCGATAAACCCAGCAGGTCACTGGTCGGCTTCCCTGGTAGGAAGCCTTGAAACCTACCTTTCCTTCCTGACGTGTTGCCACTGTGGTGTGACTTGGAGGGAAGGGAGGGTATTTAAACTTTAAACTCAGGACAGTGGAATCCCCAGGGCTCAACAGAGATATCAGGTTCTTATCTCACTACTCATACTAATCAGGTCTCACTTATATCCAGAATTAAACTTTGTTGGTCTTAAAGGTGCCACTGGACTCAGACTTTGTTCTGAGCAGAGTAAGTTATTGATAAGAACATAAGAAGAGCCTTTCTGGATCAGACCAGTGGTCCATTTAAACATCCTGTCTCACACAGTGGCCAACCAGTTACTCTGAACAGTGCAGAGGCCAAGGATTTCCCATGGTGTTGCCTCCTAGCATTGGGACTCAGCGGTTTAGTGTCTCTGAATGTGGACATTCCCTTTTGTCACCATGGCTAGTGGCAGCCACTGACAGACCTGTCCTCCATGAATCTGTTTAATCTGCTTATAAAGCTGTTTTTGCCTTTGGCCATCATTGCATCCTCTGGCAGCAAATTCAACATTTTAATCTTCCATCCATCTTGAATCTACTGCTCATCAACGTCTGTGGATGCCCCCAAGTTCTAGTATGTTGAGAGAGTGATAGGAAAGAAATTATCTCTGTCTACTCTTTGTACCCCTTGCATAATTTTATAAGCCTCTATTATGTACCCCCTTCCAGTCATCTCTTTCCTAAACTGAAAAGATTCTTCAGCCTTTTTTCATAGGAAAGGTGATCCAACCCCTTAGTCATCTTGATTGCCCTCTTCTGTACATTTTGAGCTCTGCCATGTCATTTTTGAGATGTGACCAGAACTGCACACAGTATTCCAAAAGAGGCGACACAATAGATCTATATTGAGGCATTATAATATTGGCTGTTTTATTTTCAGCCCCTTTCTTAAGATTCCCCTGGATAGAGTTTGCCTTTTTCACCACTGCAGCACACTGGGTTGACAATTTCATTGAGCTATCCTCTATGAAGAGGAGCTGCGGTGGCTCAAGTGGTTAAGACACTGAACTGCAGGCTGTGGAAGGTCGGTAGTTCAGCAGTTCGAGACCCAAGTGTGCCGCATGACGGCGTGAGCTCCCGTCTCTAGTTCCAGCTCCTGCCAACCTAGCAGTTCAAAAGCAAGAAATTGCAAGTAGATAAATATGTACCACTTCAGTGGGAAGGTAACAGCGTTCCGTGCGCCTTGGTGTTTAGTCATGCCGGCCACATGACCACGGAAATGTCTTCGGACAGCGCTGGCTCTTCGGCTTTGAAATGGAGATGAGCCCCGCAACCCTAGAGTCGGATTCGACTGGCTTTTGAGCAAGGGGACCTTTACCTTTTATCCTCTATGAGGGGAGGGGAGGCAACATAGTATAGCCTGATCTTGTCAGATTTCAGAAGCTAAACAGGGTTGGTACTTGGAATAGAAACCACCAAGGAAGGCTGCAGAGGAAGGTAATGGCAAACCACCTCTGCTTCTCACTTGCTCCTTGTTGGGGTTGCCATAAATCAGCTGCAATTTGATGGCACTACTACACCCATATCCTCTGTGACCTCAAGGCCTCTTTACCTCTTAGTTTCAGCAAGTTCAGACCCTATTAGCATGTATTTAAAATCGGGATTTGTTTTGTTCCAGTATGCATCACCTTACACACCTGCATTGAACTTCATTTGTCACATTTTGTCCACTGACCAAATTTGTGGAAATCTTCCTGGAGCTCTTCACAGTCAGTCCTGGTTTTCACCACCCTGAATAATTTTCTGCCGTCTGCAAACTTGCCCACTACACAGTTCACCTTCAGTTTCAGATCATTTATAAACAAATTAAATAACACCAGCCGCTATACCAAGTCTTGTGGGACCTACTGCATACTTTCCTCCATTGCAAGAACTTGGCTTCCTTTAGTTCAGCCAAGAATAAGAAAAAAATGGGCATTTCTTGCAATGGATAAGAGGCAGTAATCTGTAGTAACTCCTATGCTGATTGGTGCTAAAAATTGGAAGGTGTGAAGTCCCAGAAGTTTCTTTATATACTTATATCTAAAAGTGAGGTACATATGGACAATGTTCCATTGAAAACAATAATAGAGTTTATAGGTTAACTAGGAAAAAGGCCTGTTGTGGAAATATATACAACGGCCTCTAGAAAGAGGCTCTGGGCGGGTGCTCCGGCCTTGGACACTCAGTGTCAATTTGCTGTGGCGACCTCAGCAGGGTATAATGACACTGAGTCCACCATTTTCTCCAGAGGAACTGATCTCTGCTACCTAAAGAACAGTTGTAATTTTGAGTGATCTACAGCCCTTACCTGGAGATTGGCAACGATGGTTCCTCAGAAGAGAATAGTTGGTTTGGAGGGTGGAGTCTACGGCTTTGTACCTGTCCGAGGTCCCACGCCTCCTGAAACCTCAGCCTCTCCACACTCCATCCCTCACATCTCCAGGAATTTCTCACCTGGAGTTGGCAACCACACTCCATCCCTCACATCTCCAGGAATTTCTCACCTGGAGTTGGCAACCATATCTCCTTCCCAGCCAATCATCAACCTACCTTTATTTCCCCCTCACTCTTCAGCTTTCCACCCCCACACACCTGCAGCCTCTCCCGTGCTCTGAAGCCCTGACTGCTACGTCATATTGGCTGTCATACGGGGGCCACCTCAGCAGCATATAAGGATACAGAGCCCACCATTTTCTCCAGGGGAACTGATCTCTGCCATCTGGAAAGCAGTTGTAATTCTGAGGGATCTCCAGACCTCACCTGAAGATTGGACACATTTTACCTCAGAACAGAAAACTGTTTAGAATGATAGAGGCAAAATCCAATCAAGTTGCATATGCAAACGACCTCTGTGTTCCAAGGCAAAGGCCAATGAGGCTGCATATGCAAATAACCTCTGTGTTCTGACTGGCTATGGGGGGGAGAGGAACAGCAAAATGTTTGGAATGTTGGAGGCAGGACTCAGGCAAAGCAGCCAGTGGATAGGGAGACCCTCTGAATGACAGATTAGAGAGCGAACTGATTTTGGAGCGTGTGGAATGTTCTAGAGAAGTGCCACCACCATTCGGCTTTTATTTATTTATAAGGGAGATTCCAGCTTCAAAGTAATAAGTATGAATCTCTTTTATGAGGTCAGAAAATGTTATGCAATATAAAATATTTTTATAATAGTTAATCATGATTTTAGGAAGATCTGTCCAATGTATAAATGTGTCTGGGCACAAAATTATACAGTACCAGATAAGAAAAACAGTATGTTCTGGTGGCATTCATATCAGCCCGCCTCTCAGTATATAGCACATAGCTTAGTTAAAGTGGTACTATGATGACAGTAACCAACCAGAAGCCATCATGCAAATCAGAATACTGTATCCTGTAACAACTGCTCTGTTGCTAGCTGGTTGTTATAGTGATAAACTGAGGCCTTGCCTCTTGGCTTCTCCTTGAAAGAAAAACCTTTAATTTCTCTAGGGAAGGAAAAGAAGAGAAGGGGGAGAAGGCGGGGGAGAGAATTACATGAGAAAGGAAAACATTATCTGACTGGGAAGAAAACGGAAGAGAGGGTATCACTGCAAGAAGCATTCACTGGCCATGCCAGTGCTCGCTACTAATGCTGAGTCAGAAACAGGTATCCCAAAATCCCTTTCTAATGAGCTTCTATCAGAAACCATGGAGGAGATAGAACACACATGCCCTCAGCCTCGGTTGGTAAGTAAAAAGACAAAGGATGCGTTTATTTGTCACCCTAGGGCTCTTTGCCTTAATGTAATAATGTAATAAAATCAATGCTTTGTAGTCTTACTAGGAATTTAACAATAGCCTAATCTGTTTTAGCTGTTTAATTCTTGTCTGTATTGGGAAAATTTGCATTGAAAAGCATTAATTGTGCCTGCTGCATTAAAATAGGCAGTTTAGGATTACATCCTTCTTTTGTGGCTGGTCTTTTTAAAGGAACAGTGCCGAGCTATGTAAAAATGGCACTTTCTCCCAGTCTTTGTTAGATTTACAACTGCAGTTGCTCCTTGCCTGCTCTCTACCTTTCTGATGGCTTAAAAAAATGAAACAGCAGAGAAGCAGAATTTCTTGTATCAAAAATCTAAATCTTCGTATAAGAGAAAAATGAAGAAATAATGTGATGGATCCCTGATTATTATATTTTTAGGGATTCCTATAAAAACTGTTTGATCAAAAGATATGGTGTTATTTCCAAACAACTAGGGGCATGGGAGTTGGGAGAGTTGCATTAAGAGAAAACCTGCATTTCTTCAATAATTAATCTGTAGAAACAATAATTAATCACTTCATCACTGAATGACTGCTCTCTGAATTAGACCAGCTCCCACCATGAACATTTTAATTCCCCTAATTTGATATATGCATTTTTCATTAGCTAGGATTTGTCTTTAGCTATATAACAGTGGACACAATAATATTCCAGGTTGGTGATGCTCTGAAGTTGTATATTCTCTAAGTTATATTTGAGCCACTGTGAAAACCACAGCGAAGGATTTGCATTTCAAAACATGGGCATTCTAGCTAATTACGATTTGAAAGAGTAATGTGAAGAAATGGCTTTGTTGTATGGGACGGGGAATTATAACAGTAAGAGTACACTATTAAGCATACTTCATTGGAAGTTAAGTCCCATTGGTTTTTGTGGAACATGCAAACTTATAGACAGTTAAAATTTGACTGCAAGGTTGACATCCTTTGATGGACAGATGAAAAAGCAGTCTACTCCCTCCCTAGGAATTTTGACCACGCCCTAGTGCCAGTGTGGTCTTCCTAACAAAGAGTACCATGGGGTTGCATGCATTTACCCACAATAGCCATGATTCTGGAATGGTGTTCTTTTTCTGATTCCTAAGGAGTATTTTCAGTGCTCCCTTCACTGTGTTCTAGTGCAAGTGATTCCTGAGAAAGCAAAAGCTGAAGGGCAGACAGTTTATTGGGTTGTCATTCTGTGACGTAGGTAGTTGTCTAGCATCTGTCCAGAATGAGTTGGCTTTTTATTCTTTTTAAAGTTACCGTGTATAAGATTGTTTTGTTTAAAGTATGGGAGCTGTTAATGGATCTTTGTACTGCATTATGCTTATTAGTTATGTACTGTTCCTGTTGTAATCTCAGGCTCAATTAAGTCTTTCAGAATATATTGAAATCACATGATCTGACACTTAAAAACAAAAGGATAACTGTACTAACATTTTTCTATACGTATTACTTATTTTGATAGTATTTCTCTGGAAACTTACAGTGCTATCCTAGGCAAAGTAACATTCTTCTCAGCTCATTAATTTCAGTGGGTTTAGGAGTAACTCTTCTTAGGACACCTCTGTTAATGACTTCTAGAAATATATAAATATTACAAGAATTCATAATGACCTGTTCTAAATTTCAACCAGTATTCTAATTTAATAATAGGTGAAAACTTTGAATCAAAATGTATAGAATTTTAATCCTGCTGAAAAAAGCTGAATTGAGATTATGGTGAAATTATATTTCTTTCCTCTGTAACAACCTGACATATACTGGTAATCAAAAGTTAATCTGGTCAGGATTCAGGAAGAAACTATTCAGGTGGTACAGAAGAAACTGTCCACAGCCAGTACAGGAAGTGATGTGAGTTTGCACAAATAAGCTACCTCATATTTTGTGTAGGAGTTGTTTGTTTGAAAGGACCCCACATAAAAATAATTGCCCATGTTAACATTTAACTCCACACAACAGGAGAATTAGAAGTACATAGAAACAGAACTCAGCCCAGCTTATTTTCACTTCCCAAAAACCACCATCAAAGAACCACATAATAATTATTTGACAAAATACTCTTTTTCTGCAAGAGCAAACAGCACAGGATACAAACATTAAAAACACTGTACATGACATTTTTTCTATCTTCTTTGTGATAATTCATATTTTATGTACATCCACAGATTTGGGACATATAAGTCTCATGGCTTAACCACTACATTAATTAGAGAAGTTCTGTCTGTATAATGGGTTCTCTGTGGGTCAACTTTACCAATGAAGTAAGCCCATGAGAGATAAGTGCAGCTCTTTGATTAAATGGACATATAAATGGCAACTAGTGATGTCACATTCTACTCATATTTCTGCTTTCTACAGGGATGAAGCTACAAAGCTTATTGGAACCAACTCTTAGAACAGAAGGTTCTCTATTGTTCAGAATGGGCAACTTGTAATTAACAATAAAACAAGCAGCTTTCTACTTAAACTCCAATAATACAGTTTTGACAAACATTTTTTAAAAAACTTGTGGAGAAGGTCAGATCATACCTTCAGATATGCATACCTGTCTTGACTGTGCTGTTTTGCATCACCTTACTATTGGCCTCATGGGTTTCATTCATGGCCTAATTAGTTTCTTCCAGTACTATTAATGTCTTTTAATTCAAAGTCCATTTATGATGCAATAAATTACAGAAGACTGCTACAGTGGTATGTCCTAGAGTAGTCTTAATTACATAAAATTATTCAAACAAACTTTAGTTATAAACTGCTTTATTAAAGTTGATGGAATCTCTTGGCTATTTACTCTGGTCCAGTTCTGCAGGGCACTTCTCTTCTTCTCAGCCTCACAGTCACCAGGGATGTTGGCATTCCATCCAGATGCCTAATTGCACATATTTCTGCATTGAGCTATTCTCCCCTTTAAAGAAGGTAGGGAGACTGAGGTACTTGGAGTCTTGTGTCATATATGACTTGTAATAGAGAGGCTGCTTCATTCACTTCTCCAGCATGCAAACAATGTCATGTTTTTAACCAGGCATTGGGGTTCATATGAGAAATCCAAAGGCTCAGTAGGACTAAAAGAAACTTTAAAACTGTGTGAAAGCAGTCCTAAGCAGATATAGAATCCTACTCAGGTCTATTCAGTGTGGCTTACTCCCAGGAAAGTATCCTTATGATTGCACTGTGTGCCCCCAAAGAGATGCTCAAGAAATAGGTGAGCCCTGCTTTGTCTTTCCATCCGTATAATGCACTGCTGACTAAATATCAACACCCCATATACAAGTGAGATTCTGTACATATACTAAGACAAATAATGGTTTCTGTGAGTAGGTCTTCAAAAGAATGTATCTTGTGAAAATAGAACTGCAAAATAAATTTGCTTAAAAAACAGAGAAACTACATAAAGAGATGTTTTCATCAAATTAATTACTTTTGTTGTGAATAGGGTTGCCAAGTGCGTTTCTCCTCGTGGCGGGGGGCTGCCGGACGGCGTCCTGAGCGCGCGCACGCGAAGTGTGCACGCACAGCATATATGTCAGCCGGATGTGACGTTATGACGCCGGGCACGCTGCGGCCGGGGTCACAGCCATCTGAGGGGAAAACATAGAGTTTTCCCCTCAGATGGCTGTGGCCCCGCCCCCAGCATGCCCGGCGTCATCTCATCACATCCGGCTGACGTGCACGCCGGGGTGGGGTTCCCCCTGGGGCCCGATTCCGCAGCGGCGGAAATCGGGCCTCCAAAGTGGGGGATTATCCGTCCCCCGGGGGCACTTGACAGCCCTAGTTGTATTAAAAAAAAAAAAAAAAAAAGGTGACCCCCCCCCCAATAATAGAAACAGCTTCTATATCTTTAATAAATGAATGCCCTCTGTGGTCATAGCTCAGCAACCACATCAGTATTGCCAGCCTTTAAGCATTTGTTTCTGTTAGTAAGGGGCAGGGAGTACTTATCAGGTCTGAACCCAGCAACAACAATGGTGCTACCACCCAACTTACATGGCTCACCTAGACCCAGCTGCTTGCTACTGTTGAACAGTAGCCACCACATGGAAATCAGTGTGGTGGTGTAGTAATTAAGAGCTTTAGAATAGGATCTAGGAGACCCAAATTTGAATCCCCAATCTGCCGTGGAAGCTCACTGGGTGATCTTGGCCCAGTACACATTCTCAGACAAACTTACCTTACAGTAGGGCTGCCAAGTCCCCCCGGGGGGCAGATTTCCCCCACTTTGGAGGCCCAATTTCCGCCGCCGCAGAATCGGGCCCCCGGGGAAACCCCACCCCGGCGTGCACGTCAGCCGGAGGTGACGTGATGACGCCGGGCACGCTAGGGGCGGGGCACAGCCATCTGTGGGGGAAACTCTAGGTTTTCCCCTCAGATGGCTGTGGTCCCGCTCCTAGCGTCATCACGTCACCTCTGGCTGACGTGCATGCGGCGCGCACGCGCTTCGTCTGGGAGCCCCCCGCCACGGAAGAAGAAGAATGACTTGGCAACCCTACCTTACAGGGTTGTTGTGAGGATAAAATGGAGGCAAGTAGAATGTTGTAAGCTGCTTTGCGTTCCCATTGTGGAGAAAAGTGGGGTATAAAGTAAATAAATAATAACTGTAGCTGAAGATGAGGGGACAGATAAAAGGTAGGTAGGTTGGGGGCAGTGTTCCCTCTAAGCTGAGTTAGTGTGAGCTAGCTCACAGTTTTTTAGCCTCCGGCTAACACATGTTTGTCTTAGCTCAGGAAGGATGGCTCCAGAGCAAACTAATTTATGCAGTAGCCAAATCGCTCACTCACAACTTTAATGCCAGTAGCTCACAAAGTAGGATTTTTGCTCACAAGACTCCACAGCTTAGAGGGAGCATTGTTTGGGGATAGGAAGGAGAGAAGGAAGCCGGAAAAGCCAAGGGTATAGGGGTTCCCACAAGGAGGAAAAGAGGAAAGTTACTACCTTACTGGATCAGG